ACTTTGCAAGGGACCCCGGGGGGGAAATCCCATCGCACAACTTGGCGAGTCTTGGTTTCGAAGCCTTCTGGACACAGCGGGATCTCCAATTCGCTTCGGTGTTCGGCCTTGGGGCCCGCTGGGGCCGTCTCAAGAAATCATGCGGACCGCGCCTGAGAACGCGACGCTGCGCCCGAGAACGCGTGCGACGCGGCGCGAATCCTGGGCCCACTTTAACCCACAGAGGAAGTTGAGTCGTGAGGTGCAGGCCAGATCTGACGCCTTCCGCTCAGGGGCGCACGCAGTGCATCTGTCCACCTGTGCTAGCGTGCCGTCTAGCGCAAGGCTTCTGACCAGCCCTCCCTCTTTGCGCCCTCCCTTCTGCCGCCCGTCGTCGTCGTTGTCTTCGTCGTCGTGTCCGCCGTCGTCATCGTATTTGCGGGCCTCCCCCCCCCGCCCCTGTCTCCTCCCTGGCGGCCCGCGCGTCCAGCCGGCCGATCTCTGTGGTCGGGAGCCGGTGCGATTCTCAAACGAGGCGGTTGCACTCATCCTCCCCTCCCTCTTCCTTCTCCTCCAACTCCACCTCCCCCTCCCCCGCCCCCCGAGCGCGCCGCTGCGCAGCGGGGTCTCGCCGCGTGGCGCAAAGGAGGTCCCAAGGAGGGTTCGGGACGAAAGTGAGGGGGCTCGCCGAGAACGACGGGGCTAGACGAAAACGACAAGGGATGGACGAAAATAAGGGGCTCGCCGGAAACGCGACGGGGCTGAACGAAAACGATTGGAAACGGCGAGAACGGTAGGGCGATTGGAAGCGAAAGCGACGGTGCTAGACGAAACCGAAAGGGCTCCCGCTCGGCCGAGACAGTCAGCCTGGCGGGGCCGCCGGGCTGGTTGTGTCGGCCAAGCCTGCATGCATCGATTTCTGTTTCTCTGTATCTCTGCCTCTCTGTCAGCGCGGCGCCAGTCCATTCTGCCGCCTTGCCCGGCCAGCTTGGTGTTCCTTAGGGGGGCCCTCTGGAGAAGGCAATATCCACGCCACGGACAGAGCAGGGTGCATCGTTCACTCGATCCGCTGCTCGAGCCTAACGGCCGCTTCGGCGCCAGGGTGGGTCAGCAAGCCCTAGTTTCGGCATTTCCACCCCTAAGTGAGCAGCGGGCCGCCGCAGCGTGCTGCGCGGCTCGGGACACTCCATCTCTCTCTCTCTCTCTCTTTCTCTCTCTCTCTCTCTCTTTCTCTCCACTCTCTCTCTCTCTCTGTCTCTCGATTCCTGGCTTTGGTTGGCCTGAGCGCGACCACTGGGCCAAAGGGAGGAGAGAGAGAGAGAGAGAGAGAAAGAGAGAGAGAGAGAAACAAAAAAACAAGAGAGGGAGAGAGATAACACAACAAACCAACGGAGAGAACGAGGAAGAGAGAGAGAGAGAGAGCGATAGAGAGAGAGAGAGGTCGGGCGAACACTATCGTGAACACGTAATTTGACGACGCGGAAACAGTTGGGCGTCGTAAACCCACAGCGGCCGCCCGAAAACACTTAGCATCAGTTAACACAAATTAAAGCCAGTTGTGATCAGTTGCCCCGACAGCGAACCTTCGGGATCAGTGAATTTGCGCGCTGATGCCACATAACATGAGAACATCTATAACTCAGTTATAAATGAGTTAGCTAAGTGTGCGTAACTCAATTCATAACTGAGTTATGAATCCACAACTCTCCTGTTCCACAAAGTACGGAAGACCAGGACGCGGGTAGCCTCCGTGCTCGACCAGTGGACGAGCGGGGGGGACAAATGACACCCGTACGGCAAGATACCCTGGACAGCTTCACATGGGGCCCTGGTGGGGAGGCGCGCGATGTGAGGCCACGATGGGTCACCGATTCTAAGGGCCCGCATCACTCACCGAATGTTGGAATCATTGCGCAGAACCTGTACACTCGAGTTGTCTAAGGAACGAGCTCGATCATTGACCTTCCTGGACTGCCTGAGTCAAGGGGCTTCAGCCATATCCGCCGCAAACGGAACTGGTCCTCCTGGGCCTCCGGAGGCCGCGGATACGGGCACATGTGGCCCCCTGGGGACCCAGACGTAGCACAGCATACACTCATATGCAGGCACGAGCGTGGACCCGTGGATGAAATCCATGGGGCTGCGCGAATCGAGGTTCGATGGCCTGCCGTCGTTCCTTTGAAGCTTGTTCAAGCGTTCTTCGAGTGCAAGCGCCCGACTCACTGCTGCGGGGCCCGAGGTGGTCGATCTTCGCGAAACCACAGTCCAGGCCGGAGCAGCGTTGGAAGATTCGCGCCGGAGTCGCGGCGGACGCGGGAGCGGGCCGGGCAAACGAGGCTCCATCTCGGGCCGCGTCGGAGGTGTCGGAACGGCGTCGCGGCAAAATCAAGATCGCAGCGGGGCAGCGGTTTTAGAACGTCCTTACTCGCCGCCGCTCCCGCGGAGCGACAAGGCGTCGTCGTCCCCGTCGACGTCGACTCACAGAGGACAGGTATCCAGGGCGACGGTAGCGAAACACATTGTTTAATTGCGTCCGAGAGGGGCCTCTCGCCTCTCGTCCGCCCCTTTCTCGTGGAGGCAGTTTTTTTAAGCCTCTCGGGAGCCGTTTTGGAACCTCCAGGGTGCTCTTGTAGGCCTCGTGGGGGCCACTCGGACTTGTTTGGGCCGTGTAGTCCGCGTCTTGGAGTATCTTGGAACCGTCTTGGGCCATTTTGGGCGCATCTTGGGCCACCCTGGGACAATCTTGACTTGTCTTGGGCTGGCGTGTGCGCGAACCCGAAAGAGGAGAGCGAGTTGGCGACGAACACCGGAACAACGGAGAACCCGTTTTAGCGGGGGGTTGTGGTATACGCCAGCACTCTTCTCTAGACACACATCTATACATCAATGTGTATGTGTATATGTATGCATGTATGCATGCATGCATGTATGCATGCATGTATGTATGTATGTATGTATGTGTATCAGCGTATACATCATTATATCTCGATGCACATATACATATACATATATGCATGTGTATACGTACACAAAGTACATCTATGCGAAGCATGCGCATATCCATGCCAATCTCCACCTTTTTCCTGGGGGGCCAAGGGAATCGGGACCCCAGGAGTGGATATGTACAATCCGCAGCCCCGCACTGGAGGCCGCCGTCTCCCACACCCGCCCTCTTCACGTGCCAGTCTTACCCTTGCGGTTCCTGCCTCCCGAGGCTCCCTCGTCGTTGTCTCCTCCTCGCCCGCCGCCAGAATCCTCGTTCGATGTTCCCCACAGAGCTGGAACAGCCAGGAAGCCCAAGTCCGCCGCAGATAGGTTGACAATCCGCTGCGGACGTTCGGCCAAGCGCCGCCAGAGTAGCCAGCGAATCGTGAACCCCTCCGAAGCTCGATGCCCTGGGCCTTCTGCATCCAATCCCATCCTCCTTTCCTCCTTTTCATCCTTCTCCTCCTCCTCCTCCTCCTCCTCCTCCTCCTCCTACTCCTCCTCCTGCTGGGCTGCGGGCGTGCCGGCGATTCCATTGTGCACTGCGCCCGCAGCCCGGATTACCACGGGTTTTGCCGTGGCCATCTTCGATTGGACCAGCCGCCACACGACCTTGTGCTGGACGCGTTCCTCTTTCTCCGACCTGTGGCGCAACGCTTCCCCATCGACGCGCCTCCTGAGGGCGGCCCCCAAGCTTCCTCCCTCCGTGCCTTGAGTGTTTATGCGCGCGCTTGACCGCACGCGCAGCTCGTTGAGAGAGTCGCTCCCACGGCAGGCCCCGCCTTCTGAGCTTTTTCGTGGTGTTCTTCGCGAAGGCGCAGGGGGCCACGCTCCAACGATGGCACCCCTGAGCGCGGTGTACAAGCGCCAGCGCTCCGAGTAGCCCGCAGCCAGATGGGAGCCATCTGTACCAGTGGCCGATGGCTTTTGTAATAGGTAGACCCTCTGTTGGGGATGTGCCAATTCTATCGGCCACGCGGCCGGGACACGATTTTTGCTCACAAGCTCAGGCTTGCTGTCGTTTCGTTGCGTGCTCAGCCGCCGAGTTGCGGTCACGTTCGTGGGACAAGTTTGTCCAGGGAGCGGGTTTCAAAAGTTCCAGTGGTCGCGAGTGGTGGTCTCTGGGCTTTTACATATGTTTAGAGGTTGCCGTGCTCACCGTTGACTCCAGGACCCTGTGGCTGGCATGCAGCAGACGCCAGCCACCATGTGGTGCTCGGGGCGGTCTTGTCGGCTCTCCTCCTTCCCCTCCTTCTTTGCGCATTGGCGAGTTTGTCCAATGCGGTCTCAGGGCACTTGGTGCGTCTCCCCTCCCCGCTGTCTTGTCGGTGAGGCTTCCTGGCGCGCGCCGCTAGAACATTTGATATAGTGTCCCCTGTCCTCCCCTGCCCTTCTCTGCACCCCTGTTTGCGGGAAACGAGCCGCACTTCGTTGGGGGAGTGTTCTTCTAAGCTGTTGCGGGAAGTTTGCTCGTAGTGTTGGTTCCGTCTGTGTTGTTTTCCTTCGTCCCTCTCTCCTGGTGGCCTTCCTCCCCCTCCTCCTTCCTCCTCTCTGCACCTCTTTCGGCGAGAGATGAGCCGCACTTTGTTTGGAGAGTGCTCTCATTAGCAGAGGCGGAAGCTTGCTCCAGGTGTTGGTTCCGTCTGGTGCAGGTGTCCTCCCTCCCTGCCTCCTGCTGCCCCTCCTAGTCCTCGTCCTCCTGCATTTTTTTTTTTCTCGCCGGCGTTTCTCTTACTTCTGGGACGTTGCTGTACATGCAGCCACTGGCCAGTCTCCACCACGTACCGGCACGGAGTGCACGCGTTACACAAGAGGTGTTGCAGAGGTCCCCTCCCTCATGCCCTCCTTCTCCTCCGTACAAGCTTTTCTTCTCCTCCTCCTCCTCTTCCTGCAGCGCTGCCCTGTACGTTGCTGCGGCCCTACTGCAATCGGCGCGAGTCAAGTCGTGGAAGCTGTCCCGCGGCTGTCGTCAAGGAGAGTGTTCTGCTGTTTGCGCCCGCCCCCCGTCTGGGCTCCATCGCACCCCCCGCTGCCAGGCCGGGGCTCTCCGGCGTGGCAGGCCCAGGCTCTCTCCCCCCCCTTGGGGGCGTTGCTGTCGGGAATGGCTTGGGAGCGCGGGGTCGGCGCCGAGGTCGACGGGAGCTCCCGAGACGGAGAGGGATGTGGAGGTCCAGGGTCGATGGGTGGGCGGAGGCCGACACAGAGTCGGGCCGGACGAAAGGGGGGGATTGGGAAAGGGGGGGTTACGAAATTTGCTGCAGAAGTCGAGCAGACCACAGAGGTCTGGATAGAAGAGCGGCAGAGGTCGAGGCAGATGCAGAGGTCGAGGCAGATGCAGAGCTCGCCACTGAGGTTGACTGGAGGCTGAGATCGGTCGAGGTCGAGGCCGATGTGGCGGTAGAGGTCGAGGTGGAGGTCAAGATTGAGGTTGAGTTGGGGGTCGAGGTACAGATAACGGTCGAGGAGGAGGCAGTGGTAGAATTGCAGGTCGAGATGGAGGCAGATGCAGATGCAAGAGCGAGGCTAAAGCTAGAGGAGCAGTCACCCTGAACTTGTGTTGGTCCCTTGTGCTCCTTGGCGGCTAGATCTACGTCAGACATGATACACATCTCGGGACACACATGTGTATATATATAATACTTATGTATGTGTATACATATACACTTGTGTACGATGGATAAGCGAGAGCACCGACCCTAGCAACGAAGGTCCAGCCCATAGCAGCAAGGAAAGCATCAGCCGAGCTCAGCTATGACAGGTTGCACACCGTGTTCACCACTCTGCCGCTTGCAGACACGGTGACTTCAGTTATTTCCCTCTCGCTGTTTTTTTGCGCCAATATGCCACGACCGTCGATGTGCACAAGGCCGAGGGAGGAGGAGGAGGAGGAGGAGCAGGAGGAGGAGGAGAAGAAGAATAATCATCTGAAAAAGGAGAGGGGGAGGGAGGAGGAGGAGGAGGAGGAGGAGAGGAGGAGGAGGAGGAGGGAGGAGGAGGAGGAGGAGCGGGGGAGGGAGGGGGAAGGGAGGAGAAGCAAGCCAGGGGAGGCAAGCCCGGATGCGTCCGCGCCAAATCTGACACCCGGCCCCTCCCATCCATCGCTTCCCATGGTGTTGAATTGAATGTCCTCGATCCGCCGACGCGCACCACAGGGGGAGCTGAAGTTTCAACAAGGACCCCATCGTGTCGTGCGCAGTCGTCCTCCTCCTCGTCCTCCTCCTCCTCCTCCCTCCTCCTCCTCCTCCTCCTCCTCCTCATCCTCCTCATCCTCCTCCTCGTCCTCCTCCTCCTCACAAGGGGAGCTGCGCAGACTGCAGGAGGAGATGGCAGACGAGCAGGACAATGAGCGAGCAGGATCACCAGCACGATGACTACGTACGAAGCAAAATCTGACCCTCAGAGCGCGCACACCGATCACCATGACGGCATCCAGGAGCCGTCATAACAGCATTGCGAAGCAGTTGCGCAAAGGGCGAACATACATTCGTGATAGAATGTTTGAGTATTCCGTTCCATCGAACAGGGAAGCTCTACGCAGAGTGGTTTGATACCACAAACATTAGCTGCGAACTCCACCGTTATTGCATGCAGGAGGCCCGCACCAAACGTACAGACTTATCTTGCGAACAACCCGTGCGCCGTCGGGACCCTCGAAACGCAGACGACAACACATGGCAGCGAATTCCACCATGATTGCATGGAGAAGCCCAGCACCTAACTCAAACAAATAACGATGATGTGAGTAGCCCCTGCGCTCTCAGGTTCCTCGAACCGCAAGCCACCAAGAAACCGATGTCCAAACAATCCAGCCCACCACAAGGATGACGTAGGATCGATTGCGGGCGGTTGGGTTAATGCACAACCAGGCTCCCCCGCATGGCCTCCGCACCCGAGACGGACAACGAGGAAGATGCACTGCTTGGATCGCCGCGGTGGTTGCTATGGGGATGGGGGGGCTAGAAAGGAATGCAAACGTGGGTTTGTATCTGGCCTAACCCCCCTTAGAAGTGGGTTACATATGCCATATGTGGCTTGGGATGGTGAGGTAAGTCCGCTAAGTGGACTCCGCCCACTTAGCCCAGATCTGTACGCCCTTAAGACACGTGGGGCACGTGCAACCCACTTCAAAGCTGGGTTAGGCTGGATAGAGCCCACCTTCGCATCCACTTGTATCCCCCTATCCTCTTAGCAACCACCGCGGCGATCCAAGTGGAAAGCGGAGAAAGTCGACCCCCTTTATGAGAGCAGCCCACACATTCGGCAGTACAGCGAGCGATGGCTTTCTGCGCGTGTCTCTGGCACCGGAGGCCCAACCGTTCGAGGTCTCCTCCGCGGTCTTGAGCCACAAGGTCTGCGGAGGAGAAAGCGCAGGAGGAAGACGAGGAGGATGAGGAAGGAGAAGGACAAGGGGCAGCAGCAGCAGCAGGAGCTGGAGCCGCATGAGCGGGAGGAGCAGGAGGACCAGGGGGAGGCCGCAGAGGGGAGAGGACCGGGGTGACAATGGTGAGGACGCGCTCGGATCCACACAAGTGATCCGCGCTGGGGCGAGAGCGCCATTCTGAACGATGGAAGCAAAGCGCCGATCCGAAAATGCGGTCCACGATGCAGATGGAGCACCATATTGGAACACTGGACACAATCGGATTCAACAAAACAACACAAGAAAAACACTATGTTTTGAAATCTTGTGCAAAGACAACAAAAACAGTACGCGGACAGGGCGGAGCATCTTCTGGACGGAGTCTGAATGGAGATGAGATTCGTATGCAGACGGGTATATACATATAACGGCGCACCGGGTCCGGGGGCCCGGGGCCGGGACCTCGACCACAAATGTGGGCTCCGGGGGCCCCGGAGGCTCGTCGGGGCTTGCCAGAGGCCTCCCCGGTCAGACAAGACGGCCCAAGAAGCGCCCAAGACGGCCCAAGAAATTTCCAAGAGGCCTCCAAGAGAGCTCCAAGATGCTGAAGATGGCCTCCAGACGTCCAACGACGCCCCCAAGACGCCCCAAGAAGCCTCCAACATGCGTCCCAAGAGGGCCCCTAGACGCAAAAAATGGCCCATTCCCTTTGTAAAACGTACATTTTTCACAAAGTCGCCGTGTGGGCTTTCCGGCGTTACAGGACGGCCCAAGAGGCGCCCAAGACCGCCCCAAGACGGCCCAAGAAGCTTCCAAGAGGGTCCCAGGACAGCCCAAGAGGGCCCCAAGACGGCCCAAGAGGCGCCCAAGATGGCCCAAGAGGGCCCCAAGACGGGCCCAAGAGGGGGCCCAGAGGGGGACCACGAACCGCAAGCTCGAGCCTTCCGCCCCAAGAGGCCGCCAGGAGGCCCCAAGGAGGCCCCTCAAGAGGCCCCAGGAGACCCCCAAGAGGCCCAAAGGAGGCCCCGAGAAGCCCCAAATCGGCCCCCAAAATGCT